TCTGGGACCCTGAGAATGTGATGCTTATAAAAATCTAAGAACATCCTAATTAAATTCACACGTCATCAAGAGACTAATATTAAAATAGAATGGTCGCTGGTCACCTTTAGAAAAAGCAAGTGACTAGAACTATTAGACATCTCACACTGTCTAAGCTGCAGTACCACCATCCTACACATCCGGCTTATATTGCCCATTTCTCAGAGTTATTTTAAAACTTGCACAGGGTCATATAAATAGCACTTGGCATCAATAGAAGGATATAAATAAGTAAGATAAAAATAACAAACTGCAGATACAGCATGGGTGAAAGTCCATGAGCCCCACTCACAGTAAGTTCCAACAGAGCCAAAACCAGAGCTACAGGCATGCAGACACACAGGAGAGGGGAAGCAGGCCGTACAAGGGAGAGGCAGGCTTATTCTGACCCTGTGATGGACACACACACAGAATTCATGGAGTTATATGCTTAGGGTTGATGGATTCACTCTGTATTACACAGCAACGAAGCACGACCACTGAAGAAACAATCCTAAATAGGAAGCCAGTCTGTGATGGCAGGGGTCCACAGGACTGGCTCTGGGGAAGGCACAGATTTCCCAAGTGGGTATGGGAAGCACTCAGCATCTCCCATCTGATGGCAGCCTCAAAGTGCACATCTGGCTATCGTAGCCCCGAGCATGCAGCTAGAAAGTGAAAAAAAGATTGTTTTTTGTCAGTCACGGGGCCTGAACTCTGGGCCTGGGCCCTGTCCCTCAGCTCTTCAGCTCAAGGCTAGCACTCTACCACTTGAGCTACAGCACCACTTCTGGCTTTTTCTGCTTATGCAGTGCTGAAGAATCGAACTCAGGATCTCGTGCATGCAAGGCAAGCACTCTACCACTGAGCCACCTTCCCAACCCAGTGAAAAAATGTTGTACAGTCCTGGGGCTTGAACTCAGGGCTTGGGTGCTTATCCCTAAGCTTTTTGTGCTTAAGGCTAGTACTTTACCACTTGAACTACAGCTCCACTTCTGGCTTTTTGGTGGTTAATTGGAGATTAAGAGTCTCACACTGAGGCTGGGAAGGTGGCTCAGTGGTAGAGCGCTTGCCTTGCATGCCTGAGGCCCTGGGTTCAATTCCTCAGCACCACATAA